CCTAACTATGAATAGGACCACACAAGGGCACATGGCTGGGAACCAAACCTCCTTCCTACCTTGGTCTGATCTCTTGGCAAGTTTCCTTACTAGTGCCAGATTTCCTCCCACTTACTTGGGGAGGAATCTAGAAACAGGAGTTATTTTTAAAAGGTTAGGGCAGGAGGAAGGGTTGGAAAGCCACTCTCAGATACTGGAGCAGTCATGAGGAAGAGGGTTCCGGTTAATTACACAATCCAGAGCTTCGCATTTTAATAATTGCTGATGGATGGATGGAAGTCAAGACAAAAGCCAAGGAAAGATCTACACATGTTTGGAGACTTTGAATTAGAAATGCTGTTTTCTAACTCTTCCCCAAAGGAAGTCACATGGGGAAAACAAAGTAGTGATTAGGGAACTATACAGGCCACAGCCTTCTCTGAGGCCTTCTAAGTTCCCAGGCAAAGCCTGCTGCCTACTTGGGAGATGAGCATGTGCTCAGAGCCACAGCTTCTCTTCTGACATCTTTCTGCCAGATGGTTGCTCTCGAATTCTAGAGGTGCTTGGCCCTTCTGGTTCCTGCAACTTGAGCCCAGAGAACTTTGATCCACCAATTTTCCCCTCCCTCTACCCCCCTGATGAGCAGCACCTGGCGCCTAGAGGAAAGGAGAGGCCAGGTGCAGAGACCCTTGGTGCTCTGAAAAGGAGTTCCCTTGCCTGCCTCTGTGTGTTAGAGGTATTGCATCCCCACTGACTCCAGGGCTGACTCTGAGGGTTCCAGGTCAGCCATCTCCCACCTGGCCAGCTGGCAGCAGGAATGGACACCTTTCACCATTTACCCATTTACCGGGTGAATGAGCTCCTTGCTCACAAATTTCCCTGTAGAGTTATCCCGATGGCTTTTCATGACAATCCAGAATCTCAACACATTACAAATGTTCTGTGTAAACATAATAAGGGTTTGGATCCAACCCACTAGTAATTGTTAATAGAAAAAAAAAAAAGCAAAAAACCCCACAAAGACCTAAACAAACAAAGATCAGTTCTACAGGATCTGTGCCATGAGGATTTGCTTTCTTGGGGACCTTCCTAGAGGGTCCTGCCAATTCACCCTGCTGCCCTAGATCCCTGCGGTGAGAACTCTGGGACTTGGTCTCTGCTCTTGAGGCCTATAGATACCCTGGAAGGAGCTGCCTTCTGGAGCAGTGAGGAGTCCCCGGGACCTTTCCCACAGGAGTTCAAAAAAGCATGCCTGACTGCAAGAGGTGGGGGTGGGGTGCCGCCTGCCTTCAAACCCGGTCCCAACCTGGCATCTCCCTTCCCTTGCACACCCAGGGAGTCTGACCCTTAGTTCCAACTTCTTCTGGGCTTCAAGGACACTCTGCCTACCTTCTTCACCTCAAGTAGCCCTCAAATGCTAACCCAATTCCTGGACCGGGCCTCCCGGGCCTCAGGACTTAAGCGCAGAGCAGACAGCCCCGATGCGGCAGCCGGACCATCCCGGCACAGTCTGCTGGTATTTGGGCTCTCGGTCCAGAAGACATTTTGGGGAAATATTGCGCATAGAAATGTACATATACATATGTATAAATTACATATTTGGTCAACAAATGTTAAGCAAATGTGTCTGGTGTTTCGTTGAAATTGTTAGCATCGTGGCATTTGGCAAGATCGGTTGATATTATCCCAAGTGGATGATATTAGAGAGCACCTGGCTTCTCTGGAAAACACGGCGGAACAGTACTGGAGACGTTCAGTTACGTTTCCAACTGTTCATCTCTTCCCAGTCGCTCGCTACCTCTCGGTCACCAAGCAGGCAGACGGCACACTCTGGACAAGGCAACTTTCTCCGAAGCTCAATCTCCTCTCAAATGACGGAGATCAGTGGGTCTTCGGGGGAAGTGGCAAGTCCTGTGGGGTGTCAGAAGCCTCTGGTTCCTTATCCAGACTTTTGTCACAAAGCGCAGTTCGGTCGGTATCAAGGACGAGAAGAAATAGTAAAACAGAACTGTGTAATGAGGGTGGGGGAGGAGGGAAAGGCTAGGGCCTGTTCCAACTCTGGGAAGATTCGAGGAGGCTGACTCGGCTGCAGGGACAAACCCAGCGGCTCCTCGCAGTGCGTGGAAAGAAGGGAGAAACAGCCCCTCGGCCCTTTCACACAAGCGCGTGCAGCCGGACACTGGGTGAAAAGCTCTCTATGAGATAAAGTCGCGTCTGTTCCAGCCGGTGGCACGGACACACGTGGCGCTCGGCTTCGGCGCGCGCAAGCAGCGGGTTTGGAAATCTTCGCGCAAGGCACCCGCCTCCAACGCTCCCACTCCTGCGGGCCCACCCGGGAGCTCGTCCGTCTCCCACCAGCCTCCCGCTAGCCCTGCCGCGCAACTCGCCCCGGCCCAGACGCGGACAGATGTTTAGACTCGGAGCGGCGACCACTGGGGAGACGGAGCGACGGGCTCAGCGCAATGCGCGACACTGGCGGGTCTCTGGGGCTCCCGGTCGGGGGTGCGAGCTGGCGGGTGCGGGGGAGGGGGCGGAGGGGGTAGGAGGGCGAAGGGATGGAAAGAGGAGGGGGGAGTGGGTGGACTAATGATGAAAAAGTCTTCTCCATCCCGGCTCCTTAATTAAATGCATGGAAAGAACCGAGGCGAGCACATCTGGTTTCAATCTGCAGCCCTTTGATGGCATCAAATGTTCTTTTCCTAGATCAGGGCTGGAAGTTCTGGGCTAACTATGGCCGTTTGGAGCTCAGAAACCATTTACACACACCCGGACCCTTCTTTCTCTCCAGTCCAGCCTCTGGGCTATAGCAGAAAAAGTTTAGTTATCAAGCGAGTGGGGGAAATGTGTGTGTGTGTGTTTAAAGAACATAAAACGCCACAAATAAGCACTTAATATTTTACTTACTCGTCATATAGTAACTCATTTCTAATGAGACTATTAAAGCTGTTACTAAATTCCAACAGGTCATGAAAAAATCGCTCAGCACCTCTCTGTCCTCTGTCAAGTTAGGGCTCAGCAGTCGGACGACAAAGGCTTATCCGTAGATTTAGACGCGGGTTCGTCCACCCCTCTCAGTCCTTCCTCCCCTGCCCCCACCCCGCGCCAGCCGGACTGGACCCCGAGCCTCCGCCCGCAGCTGGCTCTAGGAGTGCCCAACTTCCTCCTCATCTGGGCAGCGCGACCCTCTCGGCTTAGCGTCGTAGCCTGGGGAAGCGACCTTGGCCGCACCAAAGAGGTTACGAAATTGGCCAGGGTTGGGGGAAGGGGAGCAATTTTGACAAACTCCTAGAGTCCTTTCTTCCGGCTAAATAAATATGTAAATTTCCTACTGCCTGGCCCTGGATTCCTAGCCGCGCGGAGAGACTCGAATCGATTCAGCGCCTTCTAGATCTGCCCCAACCTGCCTCTAGTCCACCGAAGAAGCGTGGAAGAGCCTTCCATTATGATCGCTCTTGTCATTTTATCACATTATTTAATAGACTGTCTCTGCAGAACCGAATGTAGCCTTGATCTACTTGCCCTCTCCCTCGCTCTAAGGCGCTCCTTCCACCCCCACCACCCCCAAATTGTTAGAACAGCAGGAAATGTTGTTTTTAAAAAAAAAAAAAAAAGGCAGAGAGAGAAGAAAATTTGATTGAGACAGTTGTGGATTTTTTCCAACAAATTTCCCCGCAGCTGTTATCAAAACATGCAAATGAGATTTTCCAACAGGATCTTAAATCTGGAGGAGTTAATGCCGAAGCAAAATAATCAGCCCGTTTGAAGTGACTGTGGGTTTCAGTTTGTCTTTTCTCCCCGTGATACTATTGCAGGGGAATGATAATTAGACCTTTACTTTAAAAATCCAAAGGGGCTCTCTTCCTTTCTTTTCCCTCCCTCTTCTCCCCCTCCTCCCTCTCTCCCTCTCTCGCTCCCTCCCTCTCTCTTTCTCTCTTGCTCAGAAGTTGGCAAAGGGGGTTTTCTTAATCAGACTGTTTTCTGGTCCGAGGGAAAGGAGGAAGAAGGAGATTGTGATGGAGAAAGGGGGTCTGTAAACCGTCAGGCACCGCACAAAGGCTTTGCCACGTAATTACAGGCTCCTATTAAGTCGAGATCTGCCCTCCCAGGGGTCTCCAATTTTCTTGTATTCCCTACAAAGCCTCCTCTGCATGCCAGTTTGTGCCTTTTGAAGTGCCAGAGAGCTTCTTGATCCAACTGAGAAGGAAAAGGGAGCTCAGCGAGAAGAGGGGGAGAGAGCGAAGGGAACGGGGGAAACCCACCACCACCCTCCTTCGGACTCTTGGAGCCCCCCGCTTTTTTTTCCCCCTCCTTACGAAAAGTAAAGTGAGACTCCTGCTCTCCAATACATCTGCAAGACATCACCCTCTCCTCCTGAAACTTTAGTCACTCCTGAGAATCCACAGGAGTGCAGAGAGGGGGAACACGTTTTTCTTGAAGATGTTTTAAAGCTGGAACAAGCCTTCTTCTGTTGGTGCTTGAACTCTTGCCTGGGAATAACTTTTTTAACCTAAAAAAAAAAAAAAAAACCCCACTTTGATTCTTCTCTCCCACCCCTTCTTCTCTCTTCTTCTGTTTGCCTAACTCCCCCGCCCTGCTGGCCTCTCCTTTCCTTTCTCCCCCTTATTATTATTTTTAGTGCGTGCGTGTGGACGCTTTTGGAGCTGGAAGGGATTTTTTTTTCTCTCTCTCTCTCTCCTGACTTGAACATAGGGTGACTTTTCATTTTATTTTTTTGGTGTGGATTATCTCTTTGGACCGCGCCGGACTTGGCCTCAGGAAAGCAACCGAGGCTGTCGAAAGCTGCTGGTGCAGAACTCTCTGCTCTTACAGAAGGGGGTCCCCCGCCCTCTTTCCACTTTTTTTTTGTTGTTGTTCTTCCCCTCCTTCTCTCTCTCTCTCCCTCTCTCTCTCCACTCCCCCCCTCTCTCTGCCCCACTCGGCTCCTCTCCCCCCTCGCGCCCACAGCGTTTGGTGTTGATTCGAGCGGGAAAGGGGGGTGGGTGGGATCGGAGGGGAAGACCATGACCTCCAGCTACGGGCACGTTCTGGAGCGGCAACCGGCGCTGGGCGGCCGCTTGGACAGCCCGGGCAACCTCGACACCCTGCAGGCGAAAAAGAACTTCTCCGTCAGTCACCTGCTAGACCTGGAGGAAGCGGGGGACATGGTGGCGGCGCAGGCGGACGAGAGCGTGGGCGAGGCGGGCCGGAGCCTACTGGAGTCGCCGGGACTCACCAGCGGCAGCGACACCCCGCAACAGGACAGTGAGTGAGGGGGCGCGTGCCCGCGGGCTGGGGGTGTGTGTGTGTATCCCGGATCGGGGGCGGGGGCGTCCGGGCTGGGCGGCTGGAGCTCGCCGGGGGCCGGAGGGAGAAAGTCAGGAACGAGGAGAGGTTGGTGGCCGTGGCCAAAGGAAGGGCCGATCACAGCCGCAGGGAAGAGGGCTCCGCTGAGGAACGAGCCCGGGCGGACGTGAGGGAGGCTCCGCGGCCCCGGCTGGGGTCAGGGACACTGCCCGCCGCCGACTCTCGCAGAAGCCGGCTGCGCTGCCTCTCCGTCCCGGACGAGAGCGGCTGGCGGCTCTTCCCGCCTGCCGGCCGAAAAGGCTGGGCAGAAAAAGGGTCCCAGATCGGGGCAAACTCGGGGAGCCCGCCCTGTTTGAGAAGACAGCGGGTTAAGGATGCTGAGTCGGGTCCGGAGGGCTTCTCCTGGGTGGCGAAAGCGGGTCGGAGGGCGGAAGGGACCGGAGAGGCGGAGGGCACCGCGTAAAGCAAGCTAGACCCGCGCTGCTTCGGCGGAGCAGCGCGCGCGGGCTCCGAAGGCCGGAGGTGCCAGAGGGGCGGCCCTGGAGCGCCCGGCTCGAACGCAGGATCCGCTCTCTGTCCAGGAATGTAGCCGACACCTGCCTAAGGGTTTAAGACCCCCGGTAGAATGAAAGGCCTGAATGACACGGAAAACTCAGACGAAGCAAAGGGAGGGTCCTTTAGGGGTGAAACCCGAGCCGCGGCCCCGCATGGTCCCACACAGGAGAGATGCGCGGCGGAGGCCTGGGCTCCAATGCCAAGCCCGGTGTTACATTGGAAGAACTCTCCCTAATAGCCCTAAGATTTCCAGAAAAGTCCATGTAGAGTCAGTCTCCTTTTGGCACTCTCCTTGATTGCTATCGCATCCCCAAGGAACTCTCGCCTTGTTACTAGCTATGCCTTATAAAACGTGACTTCAGGTATATCCATACGTCCTGGAGGAGTCTATAACAGACCTGTCAACTGGCTGATCCCAGGTGAAATGGGGTTGGATATTTCCTCCTCAAGGTTGCAAGAGTCAGAACTCGGCTGGAAGCTTTTGAATGAGGCTAATCCCTTTCCATGCCATTATCTGCTGACTGCTCTTTCGTCTTGGAACTCAGAGGCTGTGCAACCAGGGAACCCACTGGCAATCTATGATTTTCAAATAACAGTGCCAAGGTCAGACTCTTGGAAAACAACTTAGCAAAGCAAAGGAGATTTAGAAACAGCTGGAAGCAAGTCCTGTGCAAAGTGGTGGGAGAGCCGCGCTGAAACAGGCCGCAGGGAGAGCCCATCCCGGCCGCAGGCCGCCTGCCCGTCGCCCTGCATCCATGGTCCAGGCCTGGGCTTCCCTCAAAGTATTTTGGCCAGAAGCAAACTAGGGCCCATCCACCCTACTGTGGGCATGGGCAGAGGGTGATGGGGGATCCGACCTGGCCAGACACTAGGAAAAAACTGAGGAATGAAGACCCAGTGTCCCCAAGTCCTGGATAACAGCTGGGTGCAGAGGTGTCCTTGTTGAGGTTATTGGTGCCTTCTGGGGAGCTGTTCGCTGACGGCACAGGCAGAGAGTGAGTTAATAGGTGGTGTAGGCACTTGTAGTTCAAGAAAATGCACTGTGAAATAATATTTAAACAGTTTACTAGGGAATATTTTACCAACTGAGCTATCAGGGAAGCAAAGAGTAGGGAGAATAGTATTCTGAATTTTCATGTGCCTATCACTCAGCTCCACGGCTAATTATTAATCACACAGCATTTACCATTATTCAGAGAAGGCTGGCGCCACAACAGAAATCAAGGTCATGAAGAAACTGCAGCATAGAAAATCAGGGTACATTGAGGGAGACCAGTCAGGGTTGCTTTGCCCCAAGAGCAAGCAGAGGGCTGTGTAAAGCAGGCCCAGGGTAGGTGGCCAGAGCAAGCCCAGGGTCCACACAGGCCAGAACTGGAGGGATGACGGTCGTTCCGGTCTTTTGACTTTATGTGGATGCAAAGAGAGGGGAGTTTGGGTTCACGGTGGCCTCCTAGTGGGTACCCAGCAAGGCCGGGTTGAGGAGACCAGCTGGGAAGCACCCCTAATCTGAGGTGAGGCTGCAGGTGGCGTGGGGAGGCGACTCAGGGATGGCTTCTTCTAGACCCAGGCCTGAGGCTGCGCTGAGCACGTGGCGACTGGGGCGCTAGTTCGCTAGGGGACAGGCAAAGGGCAGCAGGAGGAGCTGGCGACGGTCTGTCCTGAGGGAAAGGGATGAGACCTGTGGGAACCTGCCCGCTTGATACTTGAGTACATCACAGAGTTTCTAGGAGTAAGGAGCGACCCTGAAAAGGAAACTGAGATTCTGGGGTAAAGCATGCTTGGAGAAGAGTGTAGACAAACAGTTCCAGCAGGAGGCCACAGAATGCAGTTCCAGGTGATGGGGATATGGACACCTGGGCTGAGGAAGTAGCCAAAATAACACACACACCCAACCCCCGCCCCTCCACACACACACACACACACACACACACACACATGACATAGGCCTTGCTTTCTGGAGATGACCAGGGCTCATCCTTCTAACAAATGGGTAGTTACTTTTAGAAGGCGTGTTTCCTCAACCTCCTTCCCCATCTCTGGGGTGAGAATAAGAGGGTCTGGTAAGTTGAGTGGTACCAAGTGTTCAGGAGGACCTTTGTCCTTAGTCTTGGGCCCCAACCAGGAGATGCCAAGGAAGCTGTCACAGCTACCCAGAAGTCAGGACTGGAGCGCTACTAGGCCTTCAGTTTGCCATGGACAGTGAGGCTCAGACTGTGAATCAGAGAAGAGAGGAGTCTCCAGGCAGAGGGCAAGAGCTAGGCTACCAGCTGCAAGGGACAGAGGATGGCACCAAGAGTCTGGCTCTTTTTGCAGCGTGCTGCGTGTCTACTCAAGTGAGAAACCATAATCTCCCTTGGAGAGATGGGGAACATCTTTTCTTCTCAGAGCTATGTAGAAACACATCCTCCTTACAGTTTCTAGTCAACTCAAATAAGTAAAACAGACTCTATTTACACTTGCAATGTTAGATTATTAATTTTGCAGATTTTCCAATTACAAACTGGACCCATCTTAGCAAAGAGGAGCCAAGCACTGTTCAAAGTGAAGGCTTCCCACTGACCTCCCACAGGCCACACCACAAGTCTGTTTCCCCCCTTTTTACCCATTCTACTTTCCTCTCTGTTGAAGGATTTCTTTCTCCTCTTACTGATATTCCCAACCTAGTAAACTTCTCAAACTTCAGGGTTCAAACACTTTCAGTGATTAAAGAAACGGTTCTTTAACACCGTTTTCTAACGGTGGCTAATGGGGGAGTGTGGCGTGTGAAGGGTGGGTCGGCGGTACAACAGGAGAGGTCAGGGAGAGGAAAGAGGAACAGGGCATAAAAATAGGCAGACCTACCCCTAGGAGGACGGTGCATCCCGCTGTCATTTCTTAATCTGAACTTCTGCAAACTCTTTAAAAAGCTCCTGCCTTCCACGTTCCCAACCTCTAAATTAGTGAAACCAGATTGTCCTAATAAGACCTTTTGTTGGAAACACATGTAGTCATAAAAAGGTAGACGGAAAGTCAATTAGACACGCGCGCGCACACGCACGCATTCACAAGGCGGTGCTAAGTGTGCCCCGGGAGCAGCTGGGCCCCGGGCCGCTGTGCGAGGCAAATACGGAACAGCGGCGCGGAGAAATCGATTTGTCACAAAGGCAGAGGTGTAAACGCGGCGCGAAGGAATCACCCGCCCAACCCGCCTGCCGCACTCCCGGGGGCCCGTTTCTGCCGGCTCTTCAAGGCCAGGGAAACGCCCTGGAGAGCATCGGGCGCTTCCCTGCTGGAATTCACTTCGGAACATCGGTCCCCTCTGGAGTCTGTATTTGCAACACCTATGGCACCCTCTTCTGTGGCAACACCCCGGGGACCTGGAGCCGGTGCCGCCCCTCTGAATTTGGGCCTCAGTGATCTCGATTCAAGGGGATTCAACGAAATACACCGTTTTAAGCGTAGCCTGGAAATATTTTTTTTTTTTCTCTTTAGAGGAGGCAGTGAAATCCAGGATCAAGGGAGGTCGCAAAGTCCCCAGGGTCGAATGTCAAGTCCAGAAAAGATGTGGTGAATCTTGTTTATCTTACATGCAGGGGCGAGGGGCTGAATGGCCTCAATATTTCGAAGAAACTGACAGTCTAGTGACTTCCTCCCGCTTTGGAGCGAAGGGCGCCTGGAGTCTGAAGCGTCGGGGAGGTGGGCCTCTAAAATCCGAGGCCCCGGCTGCCAATATTCCCCGAGGCTCCAGATCCCCCAATTTTAGAAGTCAGTGAGTCACTGGCTCCACCGTACATTTCACCGAGGAGGCACTGGCGAGACTCCGGAGCACCTTTCTCTCACCTTGGGAGTCACGCAACCCTGCTTTTTTGCTTGGCGACCTTAACCTTCTCCCGGCAAGCTCAGTTCAGAACCAGGGGCGTTCGGCGGGCAGCAACAGGTCACCCGGGTCCCTGCAGTTCCTTCGTCTTTCCAGGGGCGTCATTTTAGATTTTACGGCACGTGTAAATAAATCATCTCCAAATCAACAAGAGTCACCCTCCCTCCCGCCCCTTGCGAAAAAAACCTCAGCAATTTCAGAGCCAAAATTATGTTCCTACTTCACCGGCTCAGATCCCCTCAGATACGAATTTTGAACGTTGCTCTGGCCAGTAGCCACCTCCGGGAACATTACATTTTTTCACTTTTAAATAACATCTATATATATATTCAACGATGAGGATCTCTAGACCAATTTGATTTTTCCTTTAAAAGATGTGTTTCTTTTACAGTTCCTCTCCCCTATCTTGTTTACCTGCTCCCTCTCTTGGGCACGGCAAACTGTCTAAGCAGACCTCTAGCTCCTGGAGAACCCCAGTCCTTTGCCCGAGCCAGGGCCTCGGGTACAAGAAGTTGCAAATGTGTGTGCGCCTGTGCGTGCGAACCTC